AGATATATATAATCCTCTCTCACAAATACACAGGGAAAATAAGAAAATAAGAAAAGAAAATAACTAAAAAAAACTAAAAGAAAATAACTTACAAGTTGATAAATGTTCTTTCTTTTTTTTAAGTCTCTCCAGCGATCGGCTTTCACGTTTGGAGTAAAATATTTTAGCGCTAATTTATTTTTATGTGGTTAAAATAATAGTTTTAGACTTTAGATTTAGTGGGGAAAAGGGCATATAGAAATTGGTAATATGAGTATGATATATGAATGTTTTAAAAAAATGAATGTATGAATGTAAAGAAAAAAAAAGGTAAAAAAAAAAATTAACAACAAATGCGATCTAAATTATATACATACTTGCTAATCCAACAGACTATCCATATTAAAATAATCACATATAAAAAAAATATAACAAAAAAATAACACCGACAGAAAACTAGCAGCAAATCCTCCTAATAACCCCTAAATAACAATTTTACTTCTCAGTGTGAAAGTAAACAAAGCGATGTAAACAAACCCACGTGGTTGTGCGCCGCTTCCTCCTCAGGGAACGAGTTTCGAGGATTTCCAAGATGTTAGGCCTTGGTGACTGGATCCTTACGCTTTATAGGATTCTTAACAGGATATTCGGTAAGTTGATGGTTGTGATTTGCGTTTTTCTTTTGGGTTTAATGTGTTTAAGGCAGTTCTTGGGCCGATGGTATTGTGACTTCCAGAAATTTGGATAATATGTAGTATGAGGTGGTGGCAGAGTTGGGTAATAAAACCTACATGAAATGATAAAACAATACAAACCAAGACAAAGTTCTTCTATGGCAATATGTGTGCAAATCCTTCGTAAGGCTGCTATACGTAAAAGAAAAGAGAAGATCCCCCGCTCTTAATATGTAGAAGAGGGTAGTAGGTTACTTTCGAAACAATTGATATTTTTCTGCAAGAAATCCACTGCTTTCAACGATCCTAGACATTGTTCCTTGTGCAAATGAATCTTTGAGGAGATATGATCACCATCTACATCGACACCATCTCCATCCATTGATAGTCCCGGGGAGGGGAGGGCATGAAGTATATCAGGGAAATTATGAGATAAAATAGGGCCCCCGTGGTTGTTAAACAAAACGTCCTAACCCAACATCCAACCTAACCTAACACCGTGGTATATAATCCCTAGCTAGGGGCCTCTGCCCCCTGGACCCCGTGGTAGTACATGGGCCTAGCCAGGGGCTACGCCCCCTGGACCCCCGTGGTAGTGCGTCTAGAATTCACCCTCGCGATGTAAACAAGATGAGCGACTTTGCCAAAATTGGGCATCTTCTCTTTTCTTTTACGTATAGCTCCCTTGGGAAGCATTTGCACACATATTGCCAAGTTCTATCATTTCATGTAGTTTTTATTACCCAACTCTGCCACTACCTTATACTATATATTGTCCCGTTTTTCTTTTGGGTTTAACGTGTTTAAGGCAGTTCGGTAATTATTTAGTTTTACGCAGCCATCCAGTCTTCCATTTTTTATTCCTTCTTTCAATTATCCACGCTGTAATATGCATGAATCTTATTTTCCATCGCAAATTATATAAATAAAAGTATTGGTAATGCTTATGAATTGACCTTACCCCTCTGAGATTAAGCCCCATTCCTGGTAAATCCAGAGACATCGCTGTATGAACCAAAATCCTTTCTAACCCAAGGGCTTCACCCCTAGACACCCACCCGATCACAATATTTCCCTATTTGGGGCTCTGCCTCTGGACCCTCACCCAATTGTGAAGTTACAGCCTGCATGGCATGTGTTTCGACCTGTTTTCTTATTTTTTGACATTTTTCGCCGAGGCAGATTATTTAATGTATTTGTGAGTGTATTTTCTCTTTGATCTTTTTTAGGGCCATTACATTTTCTTGTAAATGTATACCGAAGTATTACATGTTGCACAACTTTTTTATTATGAATTTGCTAAGGTGATACTATAGATGAAAAGTGTCTTGTTTTCAGCCATACTGTCCATTAAAGGTAATTTTTTTCCTTGTACTGCATGGCTGTGGGAAAATAAAACTATACCGGCAGTTCTTGAGCCGCTGGTACTGTGACCTCTAGAAATTGTATTCAACGGATTGGTATTAAAACGAAGAAATTCTAGACTCTATATACTTTTATACTTTCTTGAAGTCCAGGGTGACATGACAAGCATTGTGCAGGACAGAATAGCAATGTAGAAGTTTCAGAATTCTCACTTAATGCTCCCATATAAAGCCCAACATGACCTATATTCCTTTATTTCAACAAGGCAAATATACAATTGAGGTATACTCGATGATTGGCTAAATACAGCATGCGTGAATAAAGTTCCATTTAATTTTATTATGATCACTGACATTTCTCACTCTGCCATCACTCTTAACAATCCTGTCTAGTATGTCTTGCCTCAGTAAAATACGTTTGGTAAATTTGGAAATGACGCCTAACCGATTTCTGGGTGAAAACTGTGTTGTTGTTTTTTTTTC